AGGCTCAAAGTCCAGAGTTTAGCTACAAGAAATTTAAATGGGGTCATGGAGGCAGCCATCCCTTGTATCACCTCTCACTCCTAAAAGATGAGAGCCTAAACGAGGGCAGCAGCAGTGGGAATTAGACGGAAGGGATCCAAGAGACATGAATTGTAAAATAATAAAATGCAGTGCCACACCGGGTGGAAGAGGAAGTTGCAAAGAGAAAGAACTCCAAAGAATGAAGCTGAGTGACCAGGACAGAAAAACGGTGTTGCAGACAGAAACAGGACAGTGAAGTAGGGGAAGGGAGAAAGTTGGAGTGGGCATAAGATTTTTGTGGGTGGGGATCAGATTTCTGGAGGGGAAAGATGATGAGATTGGATTAGGACAGGTCAAGTGTTAGGGGTCAGCAAAGCCACACACGTCACAGAGAAATGCTTGAAAACTATTCCATGCCCTAGGGTCTCACATTTATCCCTGTCCTTGGGACAGGGGTAGAGGGACCAACAGTGAAAGGTCCAAAAAAGCCATGATCATACAAACCACAGAAGAGAGAACATGCAAGACAAAAGATCACAGCAGGGTGTTCTCAGCCAAACTAAATGACATGGGTCATGATGGGTGGTCCCTGCTCTTCTGATAAAACTTTATTTGCAGACATCATTTCTCTGTTGTAAAATACTTTATCTGGCAGTGAGTAAAAGGGAAATGTCAGAAAGACAGCTGGATGTCTTTGCCTGCAGCGTTCTCTCCTTTGGGGAAACTTCATTAAGGTGTCTACTCAGATTCAAAACTTAAGCCTTGCCCATCATAATACAGCACCCGTCTGACCACATGTTAATGAAAATACATACTGGCCAGGAGTAATATCATCTTCCTTCAGCCTCTTTCTCTGCCTCTCTCACTTGGCTTGAAATAGTTACCACTTTTACCACTGATGTTAAGAAATAACATGCCAAAGCACTTCTCTAATTATTTAAGGCCTGTGGGTTTCCAGAGGAGAAATACCTTAACTAAACCACGTCCCCCATGTTTTTGTTCTCACTTAAAACAATACAGCTGTAAATACGCGTGTGCCTATCTTCTGATGCACACCAGCAAGAGTTTCTCTAGGAAACTGCTTCCCATTTTGCATGCTATTTTGATGACAAACTGGGGCAAATGCTCATGATCAAAGGCAACAGATCAGAGGGCTCCAGCAATGCCAAGCCCTGCCCACCCACCCTGGGGGAAGTGAGGCTCAATATCTCAACACATCTGAACCACTCAGGGTGTACCAGAAGGAAGGCTCAGCTCTAGGCTAAGTATTGAGAGTGAAATTGCGGGGGCATAGGTATGTGCATGTTCAGTAATCCAAGACAATGCCAAATCCCCGTCCAATACACTTGTTTTACACTCCCAACTTCACATCTTCACCAATGTTTGGTGTTTGTTGTCAGACTTCTCAAATGGTAACACATTGTGATCTAAATTAGCATTTCTCTGATTGCTAACGTGGTTGAGCATTTTTAAAAAATTTTTTGGTCATTTAATGTCTTCTTCGGGAAAAGCCCATTCATGTCCTTTTCCCATTTTTCTATTCGGTTGTCTGTTTCTTATGGACATGCAGGAGTTCTTCATGTATTCCAGAAACTAGTACTTTGTCAATTACAGATGTTGGAACAAGCCCATGTGGTCTCCAATTTACAGATGAGAAAACTGATGCACAGAAATGTTAAGCAGCTTCTCCAAGGTCACACAGCCAGTAACTGCAGAGCCAAGATTTGAACTCAGGTTCAACTATTACTCTCTCAACTATTACATCATATTGTATGAGACAATGTCCCTCATGTCTGAGGGACATCCAGAGAGTTGGGTTCAACTGGCATTTGGAAAACAGAACTAGGGCTGAAAAGAAAAGAGTTAACAACATGGATTTTAGAGTTAACATAGTTGATTTCCTGAGGCCATGGGAGAGATAAGACGGCCATTTAGAGAGACCAGAGAGCCAAAATATAAGGAGTAGCAAGAGAGATCCAAGAAGGACACAAGGAAGGGGATTTTTCAAACACTGATAGTCCATGGGCTGGGAACTCACCCCTACACAGAGCTGTGAGCTTAAAGCAGGCTGCACTTTCCCCTTCTTGTGAAAACAAGGGATCAATTCAATATTTGCTGAGTACGAATCTAGCACTTATAGCTAAAAGATCCCTGCTCAGATTACTTCAGGGAGAAGAGAAGCCTAATAGAGTATGAAACGGGGAAGACAAGAAAAAAGCAAACGAAAAAAAATAGTGCTCTCAGCTCTCAGAAGGATGATTTGCAGCTGCGTTTGCCGCCTCCAGAGAAGCAGCAGCAATGCAAGCTCCTCTGTCAGGCACCACCCTCATCTTGCTCATCACCTCTCCATCCTGCAACCCCCACCAAACGCAGCGTCCGCTCTATCGAGAGGGCAGGGCCTCAGCCACGCCTCAGCAACACCAGAGCGCAGAACAGAGCAGGAAGGCGTCCTCTTGCAAAGACAGCACAAATGAATGATGGCTTTGGGCAAAAATCAGCTTTTGTTTTTATTGGGCTTTACATGACTCATCAGCTATCACGTATGCTGTACCCTGAGCTATAAATCAAACAGTTCAGAGGGAGGAAGGAGGGAATAATAGCAAAAGATGAGCAGATAGCTCAGGAAGCTTTAATCCTAAAAGGGGAAAACAGAAACCGAGGGAAGTGGTAAGCATTTCCTCTTTGAGAACTCAGGTCCTGGGGGTCTGGAGAGGGAGAAGCTGAAACAGCTGCAGGGGCAGCCCCAGGCTTCGGGACCTGCGCAATTAGCAGGTCCTGGTTGCCATGGTGCCATCCTGCTGGCCGCCAAGGTTTCATCAGCATTCTTTCTGCCACAGTTCCTGTCTTGTGGGCAGCAGCCACAGGAAGAAAGAAGAAAAAATGTTGTTTGTATTCTAATGGCTGTTGGGTCACTGACACTATGCCTGGAAAGGACAAGGAGAAAGTGGTAAGAGATAGAGAAAGTAACCAAGATGGGGGTAAATTCCTTTGGAATGTATTAAATCCAACCTGGACATTCTATGGATGACATGCCCTCATGAATAAACACCCCTTCCTAAAACACTTTTTGTTTTGGTACTTATACTCCAAGAATCTTGACAGAGAATGTCAGCTTTTTATCAAGGCTCTTTCCCGCAGAGAATTTTCTGATCATTGACTTCTGCTAACGGGACTCTGGATTCCCTCCTAGGTGAAAAGCATGAACTTGTGGCAAAGAAAACAAGATGATGTATTAGTCAGCACACTGGAATGAAAGTCAGGACACTGCCTTGACTCTGACGCCAACCAGCCAAATGACCTTAGCACACCAAAGCCTCAATTTCTTCATCTGTGAAATGAGGAGGTTGGACCTGAATGGTAAGGGTCCTTCTGCTCTCAAAGGATATCAGACTACCTTTGTGCCAGGACCCTGATTGTGTCTCCAGGGACACCCAACTATGAAAGTGGCCACAACTCAGTGGAAGAGATGAGTAAACACATACACACTCACAACGTCACATGCAGACATTTGATTAAACCAATGTTAGTGGGCAGAGACCATGTCTCATTCATCTTCACAAACTCAACATCCAGCACAGTCTAGGCAGTTGGCTTAACAGACATTTATTGCATGCACTTGGAGGCAAATCTTCAAAATGTGATACTATGAAATCTTTCAGACTTATCTGTTATAAGTTGAATTGTGTTACTCCAAAATTCATATGTTGCAGTCCTAACTCCCAGTACTTCAGAATGTGACCTTATTTGGAGATAGGGCTTTAGAGAGAGAATCCAGTTAAAAAGAGGTCATCAGGGTGGGTCCTAATCCAGTATGACTGGTATCCTTACGAGAAGAAGAAATCTGGACACAGACACGCGTAGAGGAAAGATGGCAAAAAGAGGCATAAGGAGAAGATGGCCATCTACAAGCCCAAGGAGAGAGGCGTAGAACAGATCCTTCCTTCGCAGCCCTCAGAAGAAGCCAACCCTACCGACACCCTGACCTCAGACTTCCAGCCTCTAAAACTGCGAGACAATAAATTTCTGTTATTTAAGTTACCCGGTCTGTAATAGTTTATTATGGCAGTCCTGGAAAACTAGTACATATCCAAAAGTAGAGAGAATTGTATAATGAAACGTCCCATCATACTCATCACTCAGATCTTTCACTCCAGCATACTATCACTGAGCATCTCTAAAGCATATGGACCTTTCCTTACATAACCACAATGTCATTATCAAACCTAACAAAATTAATAACTTGAAGACAAATTTAATTTATAGAAGAAATACAGCTTATACTAAAACACATACTAACATAAAGCTTTTCTCCATTAAAGCTATTAGCAATATTAAAAACTAAGTCCTGGGGCTGGCCCTGTGGCACAGTGGTTAAGTTTGCATACTCCACTTCAGCAGCCCAAGGTTCGAGGGTTCAGATCCCAGGCGCAAACTTACATACAACTTGTCAGGCCATAATGTGGCGGCATCCCACATACAAAATAGAGAAAGACTGGCACAGATGTTAGCTCAGGGACAATCTTCCTCAGCAAAAAGAGGAAGATTGGCCACAGATGTTAGCTCAGAGCCAATCTTCGTCACACACACACAAAAAGTCTCAATAAGCTTGAATTTTTGTGAATAAAATGCTCCAGGGAGGAGCAAGCTCTTAGAGCAATTCAATTCCTTCATCAGCTCTCTTATTCAACATATTATCTGAGAATAAAAACCTATGTTACTTTATTAAAGTACAGAAAAGAAAGAAAGGAAGAATACAGTCACTATTCATACTTACTCTCTGGTAAGTGAAAATGCACTTTTCAAACTAAACCCAAGAAATTTAGCAGACACCTTGAAGTCTTTGGTTTAAAAAAAAAACAAAACATATTACAGTGGTATTTTATGTTAAATTGCACACATTTTAAGTACCTGACAATTGGCATGGCAGAACTCAAACCCTGTACAAAAATAAATAAAATAAAATAAATGCAAAAGCATACCTTGACAAAGTATAAATCGCTGGTTGTTTTCCTAAAACTTTAGACTGGAGTTCCCACCACGTCAATAATTAGACAACTTCCAATCACATGTCTTCTTCAAAGAGCTACTTTTTCTCTAATACAAAGAGAAACGTTAAAGTCAGAATTGTCTACTTATAAAAGTTTTTCAAAAGAGTCTTTTGAAAAGCAGTTGACTCCATCAACCTTCAAAACCAGGCATCTCTGTAAAACCCACAATCCAGCTAATTAGCCTCAGCTGTTTGTCATATGGCCTGCAGACCAGTCAAGTGATTTTGCCCCTTTCAAGCTGACTAAAACCCAATTTGACTGGCCTCTCAGACGGAAGACGGCTTTATTAACCTCTTCCCGTGTTAGAGGACTACGACTTCGACTCTTTCTTTGCTCCCAATTAAAAAAAGTGGAACATTTGTTTTCTGGAGAAAACATCTTTAAAAGTATCACGTTCTCAAGGCCCTCAAAATTTACAGTAGGATTGTTTCTTTACAAATACAAAGCCTAATCCAAACAAACAATACAGGAGATCAAATGGAATTGGTGGAAGGCATGGGGCTAATGATTTACCAGACCTCCCTCTCCTGGACTCCAGACTCGTAAGTAAAACTGTCCAATGGGGGTTCCACGCAGATGTCTTGCCGGTATCTCAAATTCAACGTGTCTTGCCTTCAACTCACCTCCTTTGCTCTTCTCCCTGGACCCTGCTTCAGACCCACTTCTTTTCTTGTTTCTTGAGTTGCACAATCCCAGCATACACCCAGCCAGAAATCTGATAGTCCTCAGTGACTCCTCCCTCTCTTCCCCTCCTACTTCCAATTTGCCACCAAGTTCTAAGGATCTCTCCTGCTCTCGCCTTTATTCCAAGTTTTTATTATTTCTCATCTGGATGGCTACAATCAACCACTTATTTGGTTTTGTGGCACTGCCATTGATCCATCCTCCACACTGCACCCAGAGTGAGCTTTCCCAAAGGCAAACGGGAGTCCATGACTCTCCTCTATAAAACCTGTCAATGGCTCCCCACAACCTCCTTAGGCTTCTGCCTTCAGTACTGCCCACCATTCTCTGCCTCCTACCTTAAGCCACCAGAGCTATTTGTAATTCTCTTCACCAACCTCATCAGCATCACCTGGGAAGTTGTTAAAAATGAATATTCTTGGGTCCACACAAGACCTACTGAATCAAATTCACCAGGTGATTCTGACACTAAAGTGAGAGCCACTGCTCTAAACCCACCACGCTCTGTTCACCAAGAGACTTAGCCCTTTGGCTCCTTCTGCTGGCAATGCTGAGTTAGATGCCCCTTGTCCATCCTTATTCTTTCCAAGAACTGGTCAACTCTGTGATAATTATCCAATTTATTTCTTACTGGTTGCTAAAAATCCTGAAGGCAGGAATTGCTGCTTCTTTGACTCATTCATCCCACAATCACTTGTTGAACCCTGACCTGTCACTGGGAGAGATGCTGGACAGAAAACTAATTACTCTATCCTTTGCGTCTAGGAGAAGCTGCCCTCTCCCTTTGGCAGCTCAAAGTGTGACCAAAGGAAGACTCAACCTATCCAATCTATGAAATTCCACCACCAACCTCAAGAACTGTGGGAAACTGAAAAATCTGGAACTTAACCAGTCTGACTTCTCTTGTGGTAAATGACATGGAATTTTTGCTTCCCATCTGATCAACTCAGATGTATAGACATAGTTCATAAAGGAAGAAAGGGGTGCATTTTCATGAAAACACATGTGCTCCTTTTTATTATCTCACAGCAACCCTAGAATTTGGAGAATAATTTAGTACAGGAATGCATGACGATTTTTAAATCCCAGATTAAAATTAATTAGAGTTAGGGACCAGCCCAGTGGTGCAGCACTTAAGTTCACATGCTCCACTTTGAGGGCAGGGTTTGCAGGTTCAGAATCTCGGGCATGGACCTACGCACTACTTGTCAAGCCATGCTGTGGCAAGTGTCCCACATATAAAATGGAGGAAGATGAGCACAGATGTTAGCTCAGGGCCAATCTTCCTCAGTAAAAAGAGGAGGATTGGCGGCAGATGTTAGCTCAGGGCTAATCTTCCTCACCAAAAAAAAAATCATTAGAGTTAGCTTATTCTTATTATAGTACAAGTCAAGTTCATATTAGCACTTCTCAGCCCTCAGTGTGCATAGGAATTTCCTAGGGAGTTTGTTAAAATGCTAATTCTGATTCAATAGGTCTGGGTAGGGCCCAGACTTTTGCATTTCTAACAAGCACCAACGGGATACCAGGTACTACTGATGCTCCTAGTCCTGGAACTACACTTTGAGTAGCAAGTAAAATTTAGACAACCCCAATTTTCATAGAATTATCAGTCTTCTCCTTAGAGCAAAAAAACCTTTTTTTGACTCCTTTGCACTGAAAGCTTTCTAAAATATCTTTCAGATGTCAGAATAGATGGCCTACTAAACACACATATTTAGTTCTGTTACCTCCCCAAATCTCACTAGTATAATAATAAAGGGAATTTTCTTTCTTTTAGACTTAAACTCGCAAGGATAAAGAGAAAGCGAGCGGAAAGAACAGCAACAAAATGTCAGAAGCTAGAAACAGATGGACAAGAGGTAACTGACTAGCAGACCCACGAAAGCTGGCTCCTCATCTGCCAGCAGGGAAAGCCCAGAAACGACTCATCACAGAATCTCCCAAAACGTTCGGGCATTCAGAGCCCCAAACACCTCCGGAGGGTGGAGGGGAGGGTAAAGCTGCAGCTAAAAATGGTGGAAGGCGGCTTAGTTCCCAGCCCTGTGACTCCTCCAGCTCCAGCAGAAATCAAAGGTTTCTTCACTAGAGAGAGTAAAACTCTGAGTGTCAAACTCTCAGAGGTTCCCGGGCAGTGAGAAGTTGCATTAACTACCGAGACACCTCCACTTCCCACCTCCACACTGGACTCCCAGAATGCACACGTTCTGCACAGGCAGGTCTTCCAATGGTCTGCTCTGGAGACAGTGCCCAGCCCAGGAGGGTAGGCCTAAAGATAAAAACAACAGGCTCACAACATACTGATCTAACTAAAGCTATGATGTAACTGTTGAGAGAAGGGGTGGAAATGGTATACATGTGTGGTAGGGGTAGGTGGGGAAACAAGCTTCATTCTCTTCTTCCATAGTAAAGTGTCCATGGATAATACCTAAAACTGAAAAATCGACCAGAGAAATATAAGTACATCATTTAAAGACAAGGGATGTAACTACCCCGGAGAGTCAGCTAACTGCAAGAATTGAAAGCAGTTGACTCTGGGGAGCAGGAAATGGGCTGGGGGGAGGGGACTCTGATGTTTTTTCATAACAGGCCTTGTAGAAGTATGTCCATCCATGTATAACCTTGATAAAATTTTTCAATTAATTAATACAAAATAAAATGGAATGCCTATGCTTTAATTTTTTTCTTAGATAATTCAAGCCATCACAATAAACATCGCTAACTTGCTGTGCTGCCTCCTCAGGATCCGGTACCCACACTGAAGCAGGATGTCGAGGACCTGGGCTCTGAAGACAGGCTGTCTGACTTGGAAGCTCACCTTTACTGCTCACTGGCTGTGTGACCTTTAGCAAGTTACTTAACGTCTCTGTGCCTCAGTTTCCTCATCTATGGAACAGGGATAATAGGATTATTTTGTAAGAAAGGTATTGTGTGATACCTCTAAAGTCCTTAAAACAGTGTTTGGCACATAGTAATTGTCCAATAACAGCTATTCTTATTAAGGTATGTTTGCCCTTGTAATAAATGCCTTCTGACCACTGTATCGATTCTCTTTTTCATTAGTTTAAATTTCATTCTCCCTGCCCCCACCTTCATTGTCAGTCCACCAGCTGTCCCTCACCAAAGTAATCAGTGTGCTTTTCTACAGTCACCCCATCCCCCTTCCAAAGTGCAGTTGCTAATTGATAAGGCACCTGGAAACCAAATAACCAAGCTTATTAGAACTGTGTGTAAAAGGAGGAAAATGGGCACCAAGAAATGTTCTGAAGGACTCTCCGTGAGGCAGATCAGCAAGTTTCTATATATGAGCCACCTCTCTGACTGCTCAGAACGCTTTTGAGCTTACATCCCAACTCCCAGCCGTGGGTCAGTAAGCTGGGTGACACTCAGGGTAACCAACCATCCCAGTTGATCCAGGGCTGTCTGAGTTTCAGCACCGAAAGTTTTGCATCCCTGGAAACCCCAGTCCCAGCACTGGGCAATTTACTTAATCCTTTAGAGCCTGTTTCATCATCTATAAAATGAAGGATAATATCTACTTTGAAAGTCTGTTGAGGTTTAAATGAATGTTTGTGTAATTCCTGATGCATAAAAGGCTCTCAGGAAATGGTAGCTCTAGCTACTGTATTCAGTTATTATCAACTCTACTATCAGAGTCACAACAAATTATTCTTAGAAACCTAACCCGCACCTTGGTTATTTTCTTACTGGCAAAAATAATTTGCCTTATATATAGAGGATCCCAAGAAACTGAAACATTTGCTTTTGCGAATTTCCTTCTACGCTTGTCCAACACAATTTGTTTCAGGGACTAAGACATATTAAAGAAATTTAGTATTTCAACATAGCTGACTTTTCCACTGGGCAAAGGGCCTGGTAGTTTTCCACCATCTTTTGATATGTGCATCTTTTTCATCCCATGGGAGCCCTGGGGTATTTATGTCAGTAGCTGTTTCTAAAATTGTGGACAGATCAGCATGCTGCCTCACAAAGGACATCAGGCATCAAACCTGAAATTCTTTTTTAATTTACATCTTACTTTATTCCTTCGTAATGACACCAAATCATTGTCTCCTAAAGGATCGACAACTCATTCACTAAATATGTCAATTGTATCCCTGAAAAATAAGGGATCTTATCATCAGACTGATGAAACACTGTTTCTGACCTAAAAAACTCAAGTAGCTCAGTACTCGATAGACCTTAACTACAGCCTGGAGGAAACTGCTCACATCTGTGCACCCCACCAACACAAGGGTGAAGTTGCTATAAGAAAAGTTGCACAATTTGAGGTAGATAACGGAAAAGATCACAAGTTACTCAAACCCAAAACATGGCCTGGGAGGGCTCTAAGAGTCAGCA